AAGAGTGTATTCATTCAGCAACTTGGTCTACATTAGGTAATTTTTTGAAAAAGCTCCTTTATTATTTTTTTTAATTTATGGAATTAATTTATTCATGGTATAAATACATTTGCAAAGCCTATAAGGACCACCACTATCACCATGTAATTTTTTTTTTTTTTGGTGGGACCCTTGCCGGCGGCCGGGAACAAACTGGCGCTGTAGAGGCTGCAGGCAGCCTCGCAGCACAGCGCTCAACGCTGCACCACCTGGGGAGGCCCTATCATCATGTAATTTATCTGAAAAAACTCCTTTAGAAGCAAAGTTCTTGGGTACATGAAATGAAGCTGTTCTCAGTTTCCTCTATATAAGGCTCATCACTCCTTAGCTTTGTGAAGTTGACATTTGTTTCCAGCGTTCTTTCTTCACTTCCTCACATCAGCAGGCAAGCAGCTTTGTAGACTGAAAGGACTATTAGGTTAACTATCAGCAATCACAGGGTGGGTTTAGGTCTTCTCTGTACTCTATCAATTTTGTGTCTTTCGCCCAATCATGTCCAGCCATCTGAGCATATTTCCTTATTTTTAAAAGAAAATAATGAGTACAAAATGGTGATTACCAGAGGAAAAGTGAAAGGGGTTGTGTAAATCAGGTAAAGGAGGTCATTTGATGATGGGAGATGGAAACTTGACTTTTGATGGTAATCATACTGCAATATGTACAGATGTCAAAATATGTTGTATACCTGAAACCTATATAATGTTATAACTCAATGTAATGTCAATGAAATTTAAAGACAAAGAATTATCTTCAAAAATAAGAAAATAATGATATCTGATGAGGTTCTTATGATGGCCAATCAATTTTTCTAATAGTATATGCTGGAAGTTTAAGCCTTATATAGGCTATAATCAACAAATCAAAGAGTCTTTGATGGAGTTAATATACTTAATATTAGTTAATAGAATTAATAGACTGAGACCTGAGTGATCATAATATAGAGAATAAGTTAAACAGTTGGTAATAATATTTTTGAGTGTTTATTATATGCTATGTACCATTCTAAGCACTTTATATCTATTTAATCTTATATAATCTTCCACAGATCCTATAAGCAGTCCTTATAATCCTCAGTTTACAAGTAAGTAAACATGGAGAGGGTGAGTAATTTGCAGGCATTGGTAGAGGAAGAGTTTTAAAACTAGATTTAAATTTAAACCAATCTGGGACCTCCCTGATGGTGCAAGGGGTTAAGACTCAAGCTATGAAGCTGTCTGCAGCCTCTGCAGCATAAATTGGATCTCCTGGCTTGCCAGAGAAGTACCCACATGGTGCAGCAGACCTCTCCCGACCTGCCCGCTGCTCCCCTCAGCAGTGTATTTCAATCAGTCTGCCTGTTCTGCCCCCCACTCTGTCTCGGGTGAATCCTCTCACCCCCAAACCTCTGGCCTGTACCCCAGCTCTTGTATGCATAAATAAATCTTGAAAAAAATAAATTTAAACCAATCTGAATCTACAAATTGCCCTCGTGACCACTACTATTCAATACTTCCTCTTGAGGATGAGAAAGTACTAAATAATACTTCCCTAATTAGGACCCAAAATCCTAATAAACTTCAAATGGCATTCAAGTTCACAAAGATATAGCCCTCAAATCCCTTCCCAGCCCTATTGTCTACTAGTTTCAGATGGAACTCACTCTAGTTAGGCCAGTCCAATTAAATATTCAATAAACCCATATTGCAAATCCTGTCTCACTGTCTCCATCTGATAATTTTCTACTATTAATTTGCATACATTAGTAGATTGTAATCTCTACTTTCTCTGAAAAGCATCAGCTGATGTCTATATCACTCATCTATTATTTATTGTATGCTATTCCAGTGTAGATTATTCTTTTTTAGCATAATTCTATCTTCAGTTCAGTGGTTCTCTAGATTGTAAGTAACCTTCAGGTAGGAACAGTGACTTCAAATTATTTGTGTTTTCCCCATGATATGGTTTATCATCCTAAATTGAAATTATATAATGTATATGCCTGGCTCTCTCAATAACTGACCCTATCTTTTTCATCCTCATCTCTCTAATGCCCAGCATCAGACTTGCAACATAAATAAGTTCAATGGATAGTTGGTGAAGGGGTGAATGAATGAGCAAAAAAATTAAATATGCAGCACATACTGGGTACTCAATAATTGCTAGTTAATATTACTGTCTCTAAATTTTACCTCCCAAATAGGAAATTGTCTATTATAGAATCTGATTGAGTAAAAGTTTCTAAAATTATGATGACACACATGAATAGCCTCTATGTAATTGGGCCTATTGTTAGGGTCAATGGTACCAAGCTTGATGTGACTTACCAAACATGATTTTAATAAAACATATTATAAAATCTTACTCAAGAAAAAAGTAAATCAAAAATGTCTATCTAGTAAAAGCATATTTCTACAGCAGCAGGCAGATCCCTGCTAATGAAACTAATCACATGACATACTGTTAAAGTAATGCAGTTTAATAACATACAAGAAAACTCCCATACCCACCTGTGTCAAAGCATACTTGTTCTATCTATATACAAAGTCCAAGACAGACATGCCAGAGGGGCTATACCACTAATGTGTGTAGGCTATATTCTCATAATTACTTCCTCTCTGCCATACCTTACCCACTGTGACAAATACTGTGTTTTTACTGACACTAAATTAGACATAGGAGTACAGTAGCATAATTATAGTATTATTACAATTAATTATAACAAACTAGAAATCTTCTTAAGTATTATCACTTTAAGGGATGAATTGTAACCCCCCAAAATTCACATGTTAAAATCCTAATTCCCAGTACCACAGATCATGACTGTATTAGAGATAAGGTCTTTAAAGTGACTATTGTGTTAGAATAATTCATTGGGATGAACCCTAATTCAAGATGAGTGTCCTTCTAGGAAATGGACATGAGGACACAGAACACAAATGGATATGGAGGAGTTAGTAGTGTATGTAAATTTTATGAAGCCATAAGAAACAGCCCAAAAGAGGTCTCAAAAGAAATCAAACTTGTAGATACCTTGATCTCAGACTCCCAGCCTCCAGACTGTGAGAAAATCAGTTGCTGTTGCATAAGTGACCCAGTCTGTGGTACTTTGTTACATCTGACTTAGCAAAGTGATCTAAAGCACCGAGTACTTTCTCATCTCTTAGTTCATTAAAGTCTCACTTAATACCCCAAACAGTCAGTATGGTAATCATATCCCCACTTTACAATTAGGGAAACCAAAGTTTCAGACATCTTAAATGATATCTCAGACTTCTACCAGCCATCCAGCAGCAGCGTGAGGGACTCAGACTGGAATCTTATCACCCTCAATGCCGCCCAATAGGTGACGGACTCAAGGGTACCCAGACTGTGGTACCAACATTACCCTAAACTAGTTGTGGGGCCTTAAGAAAATTATTTTTTAACATATTTTTATTATCTGTACCATAAGGGAACTGAACTGAATATTCTAAAAGCTGAATAGACTAAGCATCTATATAAAAACTCTTTCCAGTTTTAAAAGCTTAGTTCAAATCACTGTTTTTAGTCAGACTCCCAGCTGAATTATCTCTATACACTCATTTAGAATTAAGAAAATTCAATATTTGAGAATCCTTTCATATTCTGCTTACAGAAATAAAACTTTATTTTATCTTAAAAATATGAGAGAATATGGGCCTCCCTGGTGGCACAAGGGCTTAAGACGCAGCCTATGAAGCTATCCGCAGTCTCTTTTGGCACTAGTTCTATCCCTGGCCAGGGAGCTACACACATGGTGCAGCAGACCTCTCCTGACTTGCCCGCTGCTCCCCTCAGCAGCGTACTTCAGTCAATCTGCCTGTTCTGTTCCCCACTCTGTCTCTGGTGAATCCTCTCACCCCCTACACCTCTGGCCTGTACCCCAGTTCTTGTACACATAAATAAATCTTAAAAAAAAACCTGCCCATTAAAAGAAAAAATGAGAAAATATAAACACGACATATATCTTCAAAGTTATTTTATCAAAAATATACAAACTTGAGAAACTTAAAGTATCATTTCAAAAATGTGTTTTTATAAGGCTTGCATCCCATTAGTTTGTATTCTGTTAGATTTCTTCTATTGTGAATTTTAAGGATTACATCCTGATTCAGGAGCAAAATTTAAGATTAAAATTTTGATATAGAAAATATGAGATCAGTCTTAAAATCTTTAGTGAATTATTGATTAATCTTGAGTGAAAAGGGGTGGTTGCAAACTTTAGTTTCTAAGATTTGAAAAATGAAATAAATTGCTTCCTGCTTGCCTAGCAAGAAAGTTTACTATGAAATGAGAGAATATCTGTGAAACACCTTTGAACTCTTTGGAGGGAAATTGCTGCCTATATTCAACTCCAAGGTAATTAATAAAACTTCCTAGAGTCAGGATATCTATTTTCAACAACTTCCTCAGTTTTGAAATATCATGTGAGTTCTTGATTTATATTTTGTCATACCCATAATTACATTTCGTTTAACAGGAATAGGGAAGTATATCATGGAAAATAATTTGTCTCACGATGGAGGATCGCTGCTTATACGACTCTTGAGTTTAAAATTGTGAATCATCTCCTGTGTATTTTCAGATTGCCTACGGGGGAAAAAAAAAAACATCTACAAACCACAAACTCCATCCAATCACCTACAGACAAATCAGCCTTCGGGCAAATCAAATGTCTTCATCTAAAGCTTACCTGGATTTGGCACTGTGCCAATCTTCTCCAAATCTCCTAATAATGTATTTTTATCAGTAAGATATAAATTGTTAAAATATGCAAACTTAAAGTTACACCTTTTCACATTGTTCTTATGAACCGGTATCCCTGTAGCTCAGAAAAAGCTTGGGAAAAGGAAAGTTCCTTCCGAGTTAACAACATGTGAATACAGGATTAGTGGGTGGGATTGGAGTGTTATCTGGTGCATAAATAGAGGCTGGAGCTCAGCTAGCACACTCAGAAGCTTGGACTGCATTGAGGCTGCCTGGCTCGCCAGATAGGTGGGTGGGGAAATCCAGGTAAGCTCCTAACAATAGCACTGGAATAGTTCACTTGTTAGAGTGAGATTTGCCTCTGATTACTGTGTCAAGTTACAGGCAATCAATAGACAGAGAAGTACAAGGTAATTCCAGGGGCAAAGAGTGAGACTTGGAGAGAGAATAATGGAATTTCCCCCCAGAACTTACAGGGACCTGTCTTTGGCCAGAGCAAGCAGAGTTCTGCGTTCCCGAGTTGGTATAGGTAATGCATTTTGGAAAGAAGAGGATTAAGAGTTAAGGATATGGAGTTCTCAAGGTTGGGACAGGTCCAGTGTCTTCTATCTCAGTCACTGCACCTTGGTTACCATCTAAGCCTCTGCTTCTCTCCCCCTGGCTGAAGTCAAGGCCCATAGGACTGTGAAACCTTGAGTCAGATTGCCTGCTTAGAATTGCAATTCAGAAAATTATAGCAAAAATTGTTTTCTTTCTCTGTAACGATATCTGTGTTGCTTCTTCAGCCTTATAAATTCATGAGATAGGTTGTAAAAGGAGAAATATGACTGCTTTCATGAAACATTTACAAACAAAGAGCTGGAATTTTCTGCAAGTTCATTCCTTGGTTGTGATAACAGAAAGAGAAAGTGCAGGGGAGAGAAAGAGAGAATCATCAAATTATCAACATTTTCCATGGTTAGGATTCTTACTTGCGTGTGGTTTATACAGGAAGTTTGCAGAACAGTCTATTCATATTATGAAAACTCAATATATTGAATCTCAGAAGTCAGCCCAGAGTAGGATGTTTGCCCAATAGGAGTTAACTTATGTTTCCTTGAGACATCCTGCCATAAAACATGTGTAATATATATACTTATCAATAGCTCCAACCTTTAAGCCATGAAGCAATTGTGATAGCCACTTGCACAATAAGAATTGTCTATGAGCTAAATATATAAATGAAATGCTTTATAATCAGTGTACTATTGTTTTGCTAACATGCATAGATGCTGCTACCATAAATAATATACGAAAATCCAATGTTTGTTGATAAATTCCAAGTAGCTATTTGGCAAGAGGATGTTTATGAATCAACTGATATTTCAAAAGTATAATTATTCTCACAAAAAATGTTCGAGACATTTTTATATTTAAAAAGCTGTCATTGTACTAAGAAGGTTGGTGATTGTTGACCTGATGTAGCATTTGAGTTGTTTCTGCAGAATGCTTGAATATTGTTACTGCTACTGGCATTTCTGTATCTTTTCATGAATACAGAAAAATAAAAGTGTATCAGGTGCTTTTGGCTTATATCCTTTTTGAGTGAGGAATTTTGTGGCTACTTATTATGATTTGGATAATAGTGTAATACAGTTATCATCTGAATTGGAATATTAGTAAAGCTTTTTTAAAATCAGCTAACCTACAGCAAAACTTCGCACCAAACTATCAGAACATGAGAAACTTTCCCCCTTAAAAACACTAAATATTGACAGTCTACCCTGTTTCCTTTGCCCAGTTTGATTTAATTTAAAACTTACAATATTAGTTAGATGTGTCATTTTAAGCAATTTCAGTCTTTGTCTTTACAAATCCCAAGTCACCAGAGCTTTGTATTTTGTGGTTCCTGGATAACCATGATTTGCTAGAGCAACTCACTTTGCTAGTAAGTTTACTCTCTTGCTGTCTCATACATCTTATCTAGCCATTCACTTCCCTGTTTCTAGGCACGTCCTTCACACTAGTATGACTTTTCCAAAAAATTAACTCAGTAATATTGGAAAGGAAAAATGCTTTTAACAAAAAGACTCAGACAGAGTTGTTTACTCTGTGTTATGAGTCCCATAGAATATTTCTGGGCACTGAGAACACGCCTACAACTACCGACCTCTAAAAGATCCACATAAAATCAAAGAGTTGTTTGAAAGGAACTTGCATTTAATGTATTTTAGCCAATTCAGAGAGAATATGTAGAGATTGAGTAGACGTTACACTAGGGAGAAAGCTGAGTGAGTACAATTCCTCAGTTAAGTGAAAAGTTGGCAGGTTCTATATGAACTAAGAAATCTTTTCACTCAGATTCTTCAATGGCAGTGCCATCATTTTGACAAAAGTTTAAAGGTTTCGGGATGGGAAGATGGGAGTCAGAATTGCAAAATGGCAAGAGCTAAAATAAAAACCTTGATTCGGTACCCATCTCATAAATCTTCATCTCTCAGATTCTTCCTCAATAATGTGAGGCTTGGGAGGTGGAAGTTGGGAAAAGAGGAGGTCTCCCCTAATGTGACTTCCAGTACAAAAAATTTTTGAATATAAAATTTAAATGTAGGTTTTCTTAGCTGTCAGAGTGTATATTTCTGTCTACTTGTTTTCTTAAAATATATATCTATATTTCAATATTGTAGATTTCTATGGAGACCTAAATTAGTGTATTTATTTCTATATGGTTCTATATATAGCACTAAATCAATATTCATAATATGTATTCTTAGGAAAATTCTATGTAAGGTAATATTTACTCTAATCATGTATTCAGTATCAACTAAGTCTCAATTCCTTTTGTGTGCCTCAGTTGTGATACAATCTAAAGGCTGCTAATTCCCTCATTTTATGTATCTTCATTTTGCTTGTTTTCCGTATCAGATTTGCCATGGAGAAGATTTCAGTGTCAACATTCTTGCTTCTTGTGGCCCTCTCCTACACTCTGGCTAAGGATGCCACAGTCAAACCAGGAGCTAAAAAGGACTCAAAGGACTCTCGCCCTAAACTGCCCCAGACCCTCTCTAGAGGTAGGAGTTGGCCTTAGTTTCCAACACTACTTAATCGGGAAACCGAACATGTTTTTGTATGTGTTCCTTCTGGATTTATCAGCTTATAATTATTTCTACTTCCTCCATAGTAAAGAGTATATATCTATCTTAGTCTATACCATTACTTTACAACAGACGAGTCTAAAATTACATTGTTTTAAATATACTATTCATTTTGTTCTAGGTTGGGGGGATCAACTCATCTGGACTCAGACATATGAAGAAGCTTTATACAAATCCAAGACAAGGTAAAACTGCCTTATACAGGATCTCTCAAAGCTCTCAAGAGCACCATCTAGTGTTAATTAACTATACATAAAATCCTACTGATTAAAAATCATCCAATTTCTCTTTATCTCTTAAAGCAACAAACCCTTGATGATTATTCATCACTTGGATGAATGCCCACACAGTCAAGGTAACTTGTTCTAAATATAATGTCCTTTATAGGTTTTTAGCTTTAGTCCACAGTCCAAATCACTCATCTTTATATTTTTAGCTTTGAGCACAATTGAGTAAGAGTATTTTACATAGTAAAAATACTTTAAAGCAGCTTCAAATATTTCTATATTTTGCGTTAATTATTGGTGCATATTTTGAAGACATGCTCTAGAATTCATCCTTGACTTCTTACTTTCTCTTATGTCCTACATCCAATACATTAGCAAATGCCACTGTCTTTCACTTCAAAATACATCCTAAAATCAGTATCAGTATTAGTTTCATGGTCCTGCAACTGTACAGTCACACAGCGCTTAGTGCTTTGAAGGTCCCCAGGCTTGATTTAAAGCTCTGCTGCTAGTGTATTAAAATTCTTAATAATTTTTGAACAAAGGACTCCGTATTTTTACTTTCTTCTGGGCTCCATATATTATGGAGGTTCTGTTCATATCCAGTAATTTCCTATTGACTCTTTGCTACTGCCAGTCCAAACCAAGATCACATCTTATCTAGACTACTGCAACACCCACCTGCCTCATCATCCTATAGTCAGTTCCCCAAATAGAAGCCAAAATGACACTGTTAAATATAAACCAGATCCTATCACTCAGGTTCTCAAATGACTTCTCAACACAGATAAAACTAAATCCAAATCCTGACCAAGGTCTGAAAGACTGAATATAATCTGGTCTCTGACTCTTTCCACTCTTCCCACTCTCCCTGTGTTTACTCTCTACACCATTTAGCTTGCCTTTGTGCTTTTCCTCAAACATCTGAGCTCAATACTTCTTCAGTGTTATTCCTTTTACAGTACCCTCTGTTTAGAATGACTCACCCCCAAAATCTTAGAATGGATTACTCACATTAACATCACCTTTCCAGAGAGGTCTATTCTAATCAACCCACAGCTCTTAAGCTGCTTCTCTTGCTTTATTTTTCTTCAAAGTACTTATCGCTATCTATATTAGGCATTTGTTTACTTATTTATGGTCTATCTCCTAAACAAGCATATGAGTTCTATGAAGAAAGCATGTTACTTTTTTCCCATTAATTTATCCACAGTGTACAAGACAGTGCATACATAGTAGTACCCACTCAATAAATGACTGGAAAAACAAATGGTTGAATGAATGAATGAGTGAGTGAGTGAATTATGAGAAGCAAAGGTAGTCAGTTACCTATTTACTTCACTAATCATCTGCTAAATTGGAAAAGCAAAATATTGTATTAAAAATAAAATTCAACTTAAAATGTAGCAGAGAGCAATGGTTTTAACTGGTAATGAGATGGAAGCTTAATGATTTTTCTTTGCATTGTAGCTTTAAAGAAAGTGTTTGCTGAAAACAAAGAAATCCAGAAATTGGCAGATCAGTTTGTTCTCCTCAATCTAGTTGTAAGTTTACTTTTCACCATCACTAACATTTCTCTTTAGATCATTATTTGAAATTGAATATTCATTTTTCCCATAAATATTAGTCATACTGCATGAACTACATCTGTCCCCACTACTTCATTTCAGAGATTGGAGATAACAGAGATATTACATTTTATTTTATTAATAATCTATCTTGCATATCTTTTAATTTATTTAGTAATTTATAATGGTTGATTACCTGAAACAGACTTAGATTTTTGTCTATTGCTGTAATCATTAGGTTTGTGTATTTTGCAAATTACTTTCTGCTCCTATAGTTCCGGATGCTGCACACCCATTCTTAATCCTTGCTCCGCTCTACCTAGAAAAGACAACATTGTGGCTGTCCAGATCTAATCATGCAACTTGTGCTTTAGCTTCATAAATTCCCACCTATGTCACCATTTCCACCACTTTCTGTTCAATGTATGCGCATGCGTGCGCGCGCTCTCTCTCTCTCTCTCTCTCTCTCTCTCTCTCAAGTATACACACAGTTCTTCCTCATTTCCCTTCCATGGACTCTTCTGTCCCCTACTCTCTTTTTTTTTTTTTTTTTTTTTTAAGATTTATTTATTTATTTATACAAGCACTGGGTACAGTCAGCAGCGGGGGAGGGTAAAAGAACTCATCAGAGCCAGAGCATGGAACAGAACAGGCAGAATGACGAAGTACACCGCTGAGGGGAGCAGGGGGCGGCTCTGTGTGCCATGTGGAGGAGAGGTCTGTGTGGCATGTGGGACCCTCGCCCTGTGGCCAGGAACCGAACTGGCGCTGCAGAGGCTGTGGGCAGCCTCGCAGCCCAGCGCTCAACCACTGGGCCACCAGGGGAGGCCCCTCTTCTCTTAATGTTAGTGTTTTGGTGACTCTATACTTGACGTGATCCTCTTTTTACATTTTATTTTCTCCATGGACAACTTCGTCTACACTGCCTTTCATCAACACCTACACACTGGTGATTCCCACATCTTACCCAAACACAACTTCCAACTTTTGTATACAATAGAGTTCTAGATATCCCATAATTAGCTTAAACTCAGTATATTTAACATGAATTAATCATTTTGGCCCAGGCTTTTCAAATTCTCTTCCTTCTGTTTCATCACAAGTATTCTTTTATATTGGAATCTCCTACTCACCTTTAACAGTGAAGTCCTATAGTTCTAACTTCTAAATATTCTTGCTATTATTTCCCTATAAACTGAGAACCACCTATTATAGTGCACAAATTTTTCATTTTACCTACTTTACCGCAGTATTGCTAAATGACTTCATGCTTACTAGACTTACCTAACCCCATATGACCATAATGGTAACTCAAAGACCACAATGGGATCATGGTTCCTCTTTTAACATGCTCCACTGGCTTTTCTCTATGCACAAATACAACACCATTGTATGCTCAGCAAGGACACTCATGCCCAGCCCCAAAGCAGCTCAAGCATCTTCTATCTCCACTGCCCCACACATCCCCTATATTTCAGTCTGCCCCAAGCACTGGGTTATATGTTACATTCTTTGCACAGCCTAGAGCCATCTTCTTGTCCATGTAACTCATCCCTATGCATTTTTTTAAGATTCCCCCCTTACTTCAGAAAGTGCTAGAACACCCACTGGATCCTCAATACTCACTTTCCTGCCAATAGACTGTGAATTCATTAAAGATAAGTGCTTTGAGTAGCTAAATTAAGAAAAATCTAAATTAAAAAATTGGATAAATGTATGTTCAAGAAAATCTTGTCTATTTCTGGACTCCAGCAAAAATGAATTCTGCTTTTTTCATTAATCTATTTCTCCCTACCTCATCCAAGATTTTTTTCCCAAACACTTTAAATCCTCCCATAGTTTCTCTTATTGAACACATTTGTTTATCACATATTCAGTTTTTTACTTCATGTGTTCAAACATATTCTGTTCTATCTTATTATTTCATGCTCATCTGCATTATAAGGTTGTTGAAGAGTCGTGCCATACCACATCTTAATGTGTCTAGCCCAGGAATGGACACAGTTTTTTATTAATAAGTTTGAAAATAACTGAAGTATAAACAAACTAAAACTGCTTTTTCTTTTTTTTAAAAAATCTTAGTATGAAACAACTGACAAACACCTTTCTCCTGATGGCCAGTATGTCCCTAGGATTATGTTTATTGGTAAGTAAAAGTGACAGGGAGATGAAGCAGACCCTAAACATCACACAAGGGCCACCCCATCTCTTCCTCTTTCCACCACCCCACCCTCATAGGCCATTCCACGAAGGCCAGTGTCACTTTAAAGCTCTAGCAAGAGGTATAGCATTACTTTAAATTCCACAACATATTTTCATTAGAAAATGTGAGTTTTTATTTCATCACCTGCCACACATACCTTTGCAGAGAAAATAGTCTATCAGCTACTGAAATGCAGTGTGGGCGCAGCCATACCACCCGCGGTCACTTCACAGCGCGTGGGGCATCTTAGCCCTCGTTCCATATCCTCCACCTAGGAACGAACTGGGAGGCATCCTGCTCTTCCAGCTCAAAGCTTCTCCGTGCCGGCTGCATATTTCAACCACCTGGAAGATTTTGTAAATGAAGCTGCCCCTATTATAGCTCAAAACAATGAAACCAGAAACTCTGGGCGTGTCAGTATTTTTGCAAAGCTTCCCAGGTGGTTCCAGTAAGCAGCCAGGGCCGGTCAGTGAAGAAAAGGCTGGTCTTATGTTAATTTATTACAAAGGAGAGACCTCGTGTTTGCATCCTGTGCACAGACCCTGTTTTTGCGTTGCTCTTAAGCCTTTGTTGAAGAAATGTGTGTCTGCTTCTTGTAATTTATGTTCGTTGGTCCTAATCCAACGTTCTCAAATGACAGATTGTCTGCTCAAGTATCACTGTCAGGCTCTGCACACTTGCAGATGGTTCTCACAGAAGCTTTATTAGTTTTCAGGACATGTACCTAAGGCTCCTTCAATCAGCCCTCTCAAGGCAAGGATTTAAGCGTCTGTGTATCTTTGCATACACCTTACATTTAAAAAGGTGGATAGGCCTTACCATTCTCCCCGCCCCCATATCTCAGCAATTGATAACATCAAATTAAATATAAAACATGAAAAAAATGGATTTAAACCAAGGAATATACATATACATAAGGGATGACTCCTTAATTTCTAAAATGTAAACATCTATTTCTAAAATGCAGATGGTTAACAATAAAATAATAGTGGAGGGGGCTACACTAATGCTTACAGACCCATTGCTGTTTGGAAGAACTTGTGTTTTTTCATTCATTTTTAAACATCTCTGATTTTAAAAAACTGGCATTGGATGTCAGGTTCTTATTATCTGGGAAAGACCTTTCAGCAATATCAAAAATGTTTCAAAAGTTTTAAGATAATTCTTAAGTAGCGATGGCCAATGTTTTCACCAAAAAACAAAAACACAAGAAAAAAAATACGAACAATATATTTTATCCCATTTTCAGGCTGCTATACTAGGACAGCAAGGTTCATAACCTTGTCAAATAGCACGTGCAGGTGCTGATGCTATAGCTCCCCTTGGGTACCGACAGCAAGGACAGGTTGCAAAGTGGATGTAGAGAATAGAACTTGGGCTAGTGGGCCACACGCTTAGTTCCATCCATAGGATGTGGATAAATATATAGACTTTGTCAGGTAAGAGAGAGGTTACTTGGAAACTTAGTGCTCCACTGTCTTTTGCCTTGTAGACCCATCCCTAACAGTTAGAGCCGACATCACTGGAAGATATTCAAATCGTCTTTATGCTTACGAACCTTCAGATGCAGCTCTATGTAAGTGTTACCTCCTTTGTACATCTCTATTGCTATCCTGCTGGAAGTAGAGGCTACCTGGTAAGGAGAAAGCTCTGCTCAGGGACAGAGAACCCCTTTGATCCTAACTATACTCCTGTCTGCAAGCAAATCACTTTAACTTTGAGACTGATTTAAAAAAATCTCAAGTGAAGATGACTTATTTAGATTAGGTATCTTTTTCTCCTTGGGGTGTCTATGACATAGTACCTATCTGCTTTTCAGGTTTTTCTCCTTAGACACACTAACTTACAACTCCTACCACAGAATTGGGTGCAATAGTAATTATACGACTGCAGTAACAGTAGTAATCATGCTCTGTCAAATATTTCTTTTCGAAAGAACAAAAGTGAAATGACATAGCCCAGCTTGTTGAAATTGAATTCAAGTTCAATTTTAAAGATCAGCAGGAAAGATAGTTCCAACTAGTTGCCAAGATACTCAGTTCCCCTGGGGGTGTGAGAAAATGGAAAAAAAATTTAGAGATTCAAGGCAGGTGAAACACCTCAATAGGAAACCATACTTAGTGTGACATCTAATTAGTCCTTCTGGGAAGAAAACTGGGTTTTGACCTAAGAACCCATTTTGCCCTTCTATGCACTGCCTACAACTATTTTCCCAATGTGTTAGCCATTAGCCACATGCAGTTTTTTTTTATATTGACTTGAAATTATAATTTAAAATCCATTCCTACAAAGACACTAACCACATTTCAAGTAGTCTATGCAAAGGCACTGATTATTTCTCATCATCATAGAAATTTCTACTGGACAGCATTGACCAACAACATTATGTTGGGAAAGATTTTCCTGGTCCATTAGCAAGCTTCCAGTGGGTGCTGAGAAGACAAGAAGGAGCACATCCCAAAAACTGATCATTCTTGAGATAATACTATATATCTTAATAAGAGTTTGGACTCCAAAGGGAAGTGTCCTGTACAAGTAATATCTATCTTGTAGAAAGGGCATTTAATAAATATTGGAAGAGAACTTGTAAAGCCATTGTAGATCATTTTAGAAAAGTTTTCATAAGATTATCAAGTTCTCACCCTATGATAAAATAGCACCCCTTTAAACAATGAATAAAGTACCTGAGTTTGGGGGAGTTACTGTATCTATTAATTCCTGGTGACATCTTTACACTCTTTCCCCCTTTAGTGCTGGAAAACATGAAGAAAGCTCTCAAGTTTCTGAAGACTGAATTGTAGAGAAAAAACAGTATCTGCAAACTCTTCCCTCTGTTAGTCCTTGACATATGGAAGCAGAGATTTTAGAAGATTTTGGATCATGTGGAAGCACTGGTGGACATACAGAATAGATTATGGTCTAATGTTACAACGGCTACTTTTTTTTAAAAAAAAAAAAATTGGTTCCAAGTATGAAAACAATATTATATACTACCATAATGAGCCATGATTTTAAAAAAAAAATAAATCCTTTTGGCGGTGTTCAGGCTGTTAATTTTCCAATTTGGTCTTTCACAGAAATGCTATTTGGTTCACTTACCAAATAAGCCTTTGGATGCACACAATATTCATAAAGTCGGGGCAAGACAAAGCTACTTCAAGCAATAAGACCAAAAACAAAGTTTATATCTCACTTCACCATAATGTCTCACTGGGAGACTAAAAGTAGACATGAACTTAATTTAAAAAAGTATCATGCATATCCGAGTATGCTTTAGTGTGAAAGAATATACACAAAGGCATCCTGAGAAAATCAGGCACCTACTTCAAAGCAACCCCTCCCCATCCTGGCCAGAAACATCTATGCAGGCACTTTAATTCCATAATTTAGTTTTAGCTAGATCCCCAAGTAAATGCTCTCAGAGAAAAGAGCTCTGGCTGGTAGCTTTCCTCTTCAGAAGACTAATTTAGTGAAAGGTCAAAAAACATCTGTATCCCCCCCAAGCCCCTAAAGAAATTCCTAGAAATTGATTTTAAAAGATTTATCTCTCATCATATAAGAGTTGGAATATCTGACCTGTAATAAATTCAGTTAAACTGGGTCCCATCTTCTTCACTAAACTGTAACTGGTTGGAAGAGCAAAGGGCTTTATTATGCCAATGGCATATAAGTCAGAGATCACTACATGTCTTTGGAAATGTTGAGAAAGGGTATGGATTCAGACAGTAGTTTTTATTCTTTCAAGTCTTTATTCTGACAGAACTATATGTTAATTTCTTCACTACATAATTAACCTCACACTCCTTGTTATATGAAATTCCTTTACTACCCATCTCCCTGAGTAGTCTAGTGCAATGCTGTGAATATTGAGTGCCTGTCTTGATTAAAGTTTGAGAGGGGGGAGATAGATTGTTTACTGAATAGACCCTTTGGAATTATTAACCTTTCCAGGAGATAATCTATTTTAAATACTTTTCTCTCAGTACTGTCAAGTAGCTATGTACGAGTAGGTTCTGAGCATATATTGTTGACTTAATGATATACAAATTCTCAGTAAAAACAGCACTTGAGGGTATGTGCTTCTCATAAGTAGGTACCCTACATGTGGTTAAAAGGATAAAATAGTGCGTTTAGAAAGCTCTCTGAGGGATAATGGGAGGAGAAAAAAGTTTTCACTTGTATAAACAAACACACTGAATGACAACTTCTAAGCTATTCAAGTTTTCTCTATAGTAAAGCAAAATAATGATTTTTAAATTGCGCTGATGTGAAATAAGGTTAAGTCCTTAAAATTTATTAAATGACAAAATGCTATTTTGACAATATATAATTTAAAAAATACATAAATCTCTAGGAAGTCAAATGTCATGGTGGCAAGAAGAATGTGTTAGAAATAGAGCAACACTCATAAAAAACATTGACTTTGATCCAATCTCTTCTACTTCTGAGAATATGTCCTTCGGAAATCATTCAAGAGAAAGAGTTCTGTGAAGATGCCAATAGCAACATTATTTTAACAAAGCAATAAATGAAAATTGGCAACCACCAAATACAATGTTTTATTGACACAAAGTGCCCTATGTTGCCATCTATAAAAGTAATAAAAGTTATGGAGAAATAGAAATAGAAAGGAATATAGAAAATAACTTAAGAATTGTAACTAGAGAAACTATGTACATACACAGGTTAGAAATAGAAGTAAAAATACAAACCTGAAAACTGTTACGTTACACTCTTGGAAATATCAGCAATGCCTTTTATTTTTTAAAGATTTATGCATGCAAGAACTGGGGTACAGGCCAGAGGTTTGGGGGTTGAGAGGATTCACCAGAGACAGAGTGGGGAACAGAACAGGCAAACTGACTGAAATACACTGCAGAGGAGAGCAGTGGGCAAGTCAGAAGAGGTCTGCTGCGCCATGTGGGTAGCTCCCTGGCTGGGGATCGAACTCATGCTGCAGTGGCTGCGGACAGCTTCATAGGCTGTGTCTCAACCCCTTGCGTCACCAGGGAGACCTCTCAGCAATGCCTATTTTTTTAAGAAATCCCGTTAATATAATCACATTATCTTTCATTCGTGTTTAAAGAAATTTAAATGAAAGCACATTTTTACTTCCTCTGACTACAGAGAGTGATATAGTAAAAACTAGAGAGTATTATTTCCAAGGGCTGAATTAAATAGGTTGGTAATTTGATAGAAATGTAAACTATTGCAGTCACTATGAGAAACAATGACTGTTCCTCAAAAAACTAAACACAGAACTACTCTCTGACTCAATATGCCAGTTCTGCATGTGTGCCCAAAATACCCGATAGCCAGAAAAAGATATTTAAACACTCAAATTCATAACAGAACTACTGACAATATCCAGGAGGCAGAAGCAACCCAAACATCTATTGAGAGACGAATGGATAAACAAAATGTAGCAGATACATACAATGAAATATTATTCAACTTGAAAAAGGAAGGAAATTCTGACACATATGACAACATGGAAGAACAATGAAGACATGATGTTAAGTGAAATAAACCAGTTATAAGAGACAGACAGTGTATGATTCCATTTATACAAAGTGCTTAGGCCAGACACATCACAGAAAAGTAGAACGGTGGGTGCCAGAAGTTGAATGGAGGTGGGGATGGGGATATATCATTTAACAGGAATGGAGTTCCAGTTTGGTAAGATGAAAAACTTCTAGAAATGGTGCATGCAATGGTGGTTAATGATTGTGCAACAATGTGAATGTACTGAATCCACTGAATTATACATTTAGAAATGGTTAAAATGATAAACTTTTTACCATGTATATTTTAACACAATTTAAAAAAAAGTGTGTTTAACCATTTTTATCTGAGGTCCCACAAAACAGGGAGACAAGAGAGGAATTAACTTTAAAAAATCTTGGTAACATAAATCATTTGTAAAGTAACTGACACGGATTATGAACATGCCTCTCAAACCATTTTTACCTGTTTCAGAATTGCAGCTTTCCTCAATGATCATCTATGGCTGTCTGTTTCAGTTGTTTTTCATTCAGTAATCCTAAGTAGCTACTGAGGTTCTTATCTTTAGCAATCACTGGTAAAAACAGAACAATCTCCAAGGCAAGAACTAGATTTTCTTCAGGGCCTCACCAAGAAGGCTGACTTCAAAGTCCAAGTAGTCAACCTGATCTAAAAGACCACTTGTCAAGCTGTGACCTGACCAACCTGTGAAAAGCAAGATGATGCAGTCAGCAAACAAGGTTTTACCCTTCAAGTGATTCTATGGCTCCTCTCACAAATATTTTAACTTACAGGCAACGCCCTCCAGCCCTCATTTGAAACTGAATTCCAAAAGCTGGTTTTCTGAGGAAAGTAGATGAGAAAGGGTCTGGTACATAGTAGGAGTGTCTAGTTTTTGCCATTTCTCAAAACCAGGAGGTATTTTTTTTTTTTTTAAAGATTTATTTATTTATTTATACAAGCACTGGGTACAGTCAGAAGCATGGAAGGGTGAGAGAATTCACTAGAGCCAGAGCTGGGAGCAGAACAGGCAGACAGACTGACAAAGTACACTGCAGGGTGGAGCAGCGGGCACGGCAGGAGAGGTCTGTACCATGTGGGACCCTAACTGGCCGCCAGCAGGATTGAACCAGCGCTGCAGAGGCTGCGGGTAGCTTCACAGCCCAGAGCTCAACCGCTGTGCCACCAGGGAGGCCCACCAGGAGGTATTTCAAAGCCTTTTATTACCTTGCTGTGATCTGACATTCAAGAAAAATTTTAACATGGAAAGCTAGATTTTCTTTTCTCTCCCTCTCCCGTTCCCTCTGGTGGGGTGAAGGGCATTGCTGGTTGTTAAAAGATAGGCTTCCCCAAGCCTTCCTAAGCTGTGTCATTTGGCACATTGATTATTTCAAGCTTAGCTCAACGGAAACCCTGCAGGCTCACAGAAATTTTCACCACTCACTTAACAAACAGGATGAAATTTGGACATTTAACCCAGAATTGGGGGTATTATCAGAAATAACCCCTCTATTAGATAAATGACAAGGCAAATATCTAATTACAAGTCATGTGCCCTTCATCATGTGAGTTCTCCTCTTGACTTAAAGTTCTAGGCCTGTCACACATTTTGTTTTTCACTCGGGATATATAGTCATTTTGTCCCACTAGTTTTAAAATTCACATCCATGTGGATTCTCCATGTGTAATTAAATTTTTTCTTTCCTGCTACTAACCTCTCTGATATTAATCTGATTGCTTGACCAGCCTTAGAACATTCCAGAGAGGTGGCGGGAAATTCCTTTCCAGCCCTACAATGTTCCCCTAAGAATACTTAGAAGACATTCACCAACGATGTATACTATACTTCATCTAGAATAGAGAGCCTGATGTAAATAGTTACCACTATGCCAAACACACTAAGTACAGAACAACTCGATACAATTCCCTCACTTTATCCAGAGCCCTGAAAAGTTAAGTCCTGAACTTTATTATCACTTCTTTTTTTTTAAATATTTTTTAAAGATTTATTTTATTTATACAAGAGGTGGGGCACAGGCAAGAGTCGCGGGAGCATGAGAGGATTCATCAGAGATGGAGCTGGGCGCAGAACAGGCAGACAGATCAAAAGCACTGCTGAGGGGAGCAGCGGGCAAGACAGGAGAGGTCTGCCTCGCCATGTGGGATTCTCCCTGGCAGGCCGAGATCGAACCCACACTACCGAGGCTGCAGACAGCTCCACAGCGCTGCGCTCAACCCGCTACACCACGGGGGAGGCCCTATTATCATTTCTAGTAAGACCATTAGGATGCAAATTATCATATTTGTACAGCCACGATGCTTGAAAGTGTTTTTTTCCTATGAAATACCCTCGGGAAAAAAGGGATTTTTTTCTTACCTGCTAAAAAGTGAAATAGTTTCATATATTTACTCAGAGCATTTTCAAAAGAATGAATAAACTTAAGCAGAGCTAACCAAATATTTGGAAAAATCGTAAGAGGATTTTGGCTTAAGGAAACTAAGAACTAAAAGCCACACTTCTGGTTTCTTTTCTCTCTCTGAAAGGTTCCATTCAGCAGCATGGTACTTAAGATGAATATGTAGAACTGGTTTTCATACCAAACTCATTCCTGCTTAGATAACAGAGGATCTGAGATGAATTCATGCTATGTGAGCTCAGATTCTAGAAATAATAATTACCAGTTTTTCCTTTGTTCTAGCATTATAGTCTCTAAAATTTTACTTTGAACATCAAAGGCGACTAGGTAAATATTCTAAGAAACATTCCTTCAAATGGAATGTGTACACATGGAGTAAAAGAAATGTTTTAAAAGTAGCACAGTTTTTCTTTTAAAAAAATGCTAAATTTAGAAGGCAAAAGTTCTAGGGTACAAGTTTGTTTTACAGCCACTTGTTGTAACTTGAGGACCCTGATCTGAAACTAATCCTCCTCTGAGCCCATGTGTTTGTGGCAGCATTTTTGTGCAGCCAGGCAGTGGCCCTTCCTGTAATCCTGGGGTCAGTCTGAATTCTGCAGGCTCGTCATTCGGGATTCCGGGCAGACTATTCAGAGGCCTTTTCAGTGGGCACTATAATATACTGCATAATGTATCTCTGCACCCAGACAAAGCAAAGATCACAGGATACCTCCTAAAAGAGACTGGAAAATCTAGCACCTTCAGGTCTTTGTGAGAACAGAAAGCCCAGAGTAGCTGATCAGGTATGCCCTTGGTGTTTGAAAATGTATTATTTCTTGAGTGACTTGTCAGTTACTACCTGCTCCTATAATCCTATAGCTTGGTAGCCTTGAAGATTCATATTTTCCCTGATTTCTAACTGGTCTGACACAAACAAGGCTGATTAGTGCACAAACCCATGTTATGAGTTGATTCTCTCTGGAATAGTCTTTGCCACATAAAAAACATTGTATCAAGGGGGGGGGGGGAAATACTCTATTAGGAGATTCCAGAACCTCATGCAAAATTCAAAATAAAACAAAGCAAATAACAAATCAAAAAAAATCCTAAAGGAAGACTGAGTTTAGCAATGCCTGAACATGTCACTAACAATCTTAGCTTAGGGTCCAAGTGGGAACGTTACAGTTGCCCAGAGCTCAATGTGAGATTGAAGGTGTAGGAAATGTCCCCCTATACCTTTGGGTTCTTCTCATGATGAACAAGCAATCAAATCAGCATCAAATTATCAGGAGAAAAGAAAATTAATTTATATATATGGAGAATCTACATGAATGGAAACGCTAACATAAATGGAGCAAAAAGAGGGTATTTATCTGGGCCCCCCAGGGCCACAGGGGTTAAAGTCAGTGCTATCATGCTATTGGCAGCCACTTCAGCATAAGTTTGATCCCTGGCCAGGGAGTTAACCCACATGGCGCAACAGACCTCTCCTGTTTGGCCTGTAGTTCCCCTCAGCAGTTTATTCCAATAAATCTGCTTGTTACGCTCCCTACTCTGTCTCTGGTGAATCCTCTTACCCCCCATACTTCTGGCCTACACCCCAGTTCCTGTATGTATAAATAAAAACAAATCTTTTTTTTTTTTTTTTTTTTTTAAAGAGGGTATTTATCCTGGCCCGAAGGCTGGGGTAGAGGCCTGAGTTTCAAAGAGAAGAAGGAAGTCCATGTGATGACAGGACCACTTGCTCTGCCATATAAATAGGCTCTACAATAGGAAAGTTATTTCTGTAGATAAGTTGAGTAATGTTAGCAATTTTCATTCTTTCTGGAAGTTAATAGAGCAGCAAAAGTTTTCCCAAACCTACAGAACCTTGACTAAACTCAGCCCAAAATAATCCTTACGCCAAAGTGACACATCTTGGAAAGACCTCAAGAGGCCCAGCCTTCAGTATACATGCTAATACACTTCAGTATTTTTCTCTTGTTAATCCTATTTTTATTACAGGTGATTTCAGTTAATAACTCAGAAAAGCGGAGGGAAATCATTACTATTTTTTCTTCCCCTACATCATCAAGGGAATGCTGTTATGGGAATTCAGTATTCCAGCCAGGCTTCCAGTCATGGAAGGAATATATTCATAAAATGCTCAAATTTTATAGACCAACCATTCACCAATCTTTCTTAGTTAAAGTCCACCAGACAATTACCAATAAAATGCAATATACCATATAAAATGCAAGACAAGAAATCAGTAATTTTTAGTAACTGAAAAGAATGAGTGACTTCACTTTTATAAACTTTTCTCACCATGAGGAATAAACACTGAAACATTTTAAGAAAGGATTTTGGATAACTACCAATAGATATCAGTGGTAGAAGTTCATTTCCAGGACTTGATTTTACACGGAAATAGTACTACCTAGCTTTAAGTCAACTAATGAGTATCTAAGGCAAAAAGAATTTCATTTCACTTATTTTATCAATTTTTCAATTACTTTCTTTAATTCAAACAATAATACACAAACAAATGTCCCATTCTTTAATTTTTGAACATAATATACAGAGCCACAATACTATTTCAATTTCAAACTATGGGAAATCATGTCCAAATATGCTTGGATTTGACAAGTTGATATCACAATACTCAGAAATATCATGAAAAAGGCATTTAACAATTTGTAAGGTAATCAAATATTTTTGCTACGTGGGCCAATGCATTAATAGTAGCTTGTTTAAAAATGCAGTCTTTTGGACTTCAAATTACTATAAAAGAATAACAAGATATAGAGATATACTTTCTGAATTTGTCAAATTCATTCCATTTTGAAAGCTGAAGGCAAATGGTATACACCATCTCACCTTTGCACTTACCTGTAAAAGTCAAAAACTGAAGCCACACTTTCATGACAGAGCTACTTCTAGAATACATTAATATAACTGTAATCATAAAAGACTACTATAACTAAATTATCACTTTTATAGTAACAATTTTCACCACAATACATCTTTCCTATAAAGATAAAAAAAATGGGAATCTGTATTTCCCTTACTGAACTTAACATAATAGAATCTCATATTTTCTGGCTTTAATAAACTTCAGCTTTTTTTTTCCAGTAGGAACTATCTACACAGCAGAATGCTACAATTAATTATTCCAGTGAGATGTAATTTAGATTCACAATATGATCAACACAAGAGTGCAATACAAAGTTTTTCTGCAGATAAAAACGCTAAGAAAGGCCACAGTGGACAGTGCCAGACACTGTGAATACAGTAGATTACAGGTACCACTGAGGTTAGAGGAGACCACAATTTCCAAATTTGTTTCAGCAATGGAAAAAGAAAAACAATTAGAGAAACATAAGAGTAAAAATATATACTTCCACAGTCAGTAAAGTAATTTTTCAGATACTGTTTTCTTAAACAGACAAATTAGCTTAACTTAAAGTCAGAGAAAGTGAACAAGATGAGAATATGAAAGATATTCCTTGTTTCCTCATCAAAGGAATGCACTAGGATTAGCGCGAGGATCTTTCTGGTTCCTGTATCGGTAGGTCAGCCAAACACCCAGGATCTGGAATAGGAAAGAGAGAAAAGAGAAAGTTAACAGCTCTGTATATTCAGTTTATCAATAAAACAACTCAGAAGCCTTGAAAGTACTCTGTATTGTTTATTCAAAGAGGAAGAGATTGCTTTTTCTTTTTAAAGGTAGTAAAGTAACCCAAATGAGAGACCCTAAGAAAAATTAACATGAACACTGAGGTAGACTAAAGAATGGCCCTCCAATGATGTTCACATCATAACCCTGAAGACCTGCAAATACGTCACCTTTTTTTTTTTTTTTTTTAAGATTTATTTATTTATTTATACAAGCACTGGGTACAGTCAGAAGCATGGGAGGGTGAGAGAATTCACCAGAGCCAAAGAGCAGGGAACAGAATAGGCAGACCAATGAAATACACTGCTGAGGAGAGCAGCGGGCGAGACAGGAGAGGTCTGTAGCACCATGTGGGACCCTTGCCAGTGGTCAGGGATGGAACCGGCGCTGCAGAGGCTGCAGGCAGCTTCACAGCCCAGCGCTCAACCGCTGCGCCACCAGGGGAGGCCCTATGTGACCTTTCATGGTAACAGATTTTGCAGATGTGAGTGAACTGAAGATCTTCATATAGGGAGATTATCTGGATAGACCCCATGATGTATTCACAAGAGTTCTTGTAAGAGAAAGGGCAAAGCCATATATATATATATATATATATATATATATATATATATATATATAGAGAGAGAGAGAGAGAGAGAGAGAGAGAGAGAGAGAGAGAAAGCAATGTGATAACAGCAGCAGTAAGAAGCAGAGTCAAGATGATGCTGCAATGGGCCGCCCTGGTGGCCTAAGCGTTAAGTCTCAGCACTACCACAGCAATGGCCTGAGTTCAATCCCCAGCCAGCAGAGGAGCAGCAGACCTCTCCTGTCTCACTTGCTGCTCCCCTCAGCAGTGTATTTCAGTCAGTCTGCCTGTTCTGTTCCCCGCTCTGTCTCTGGTGAATCCTCTCACCAACCCCCCCCACACCTCTAGCCTACACCCCAGTTCTTCTATGCAAAAATAAATAAAATTAAAATCTTACAATAAAGGAATAATTCTTTAAAACAAAAAGATGCTGCAGCACTGACTTGGAAGATGGAGGAAGAGGTCGCAAGTCAAGGCAGTCAGGCTACCTGCAGAAGCTAAGAAAGGCAATGGAAAGACTTTCCCCTAGAATGTCCAAAAAGTACTTCCATTTTAAGCTTCTGATCTCCTGAAGTACAATACAGTAAATGTGTGTTGCTTTAATCTATTACATCTGTGGTTATGTATCAGAGTATCAATAGGAAACCAACACAAACACAGAATATCAAATAGTTAAAATATCTAATATTTGGAAAATTCAGAAACAAATGGTTCAGCAAAAACTAAGCAGTAACAAATACCCTATGATAAATATTTTCCAACACAGATCATAAAAAATATAATTCCTACCTTGCGGGAGGGCGGGGGAGCAGCATAAATTTAGAAAAGTAATAGGTTGTTATTGTGCCATTTCCCACACCAGGTTCACTAAAGAGTTAACCAATGTAATTTATTTTTTTTTAATTAAGAAATATGTGCATTCTGTTTCTGCTACTTCAAAGTAGTATTTTTTAATGATCAAAAATTCATAGAATGCAAAGGATACAACTTTAAATGGAACACAATGAATTTCAAATCTTCAAGTCAATCTAAATTTTATTTATCTTCATAACTACTCATTAGTTCCTTAAATTATTTCTAGAAAAGTGTGTTATGTTCCAAATTTTTTCTATTGAACACAATGATCCCCGAGTTCTATAAAATTCATGACTAGCAATGTTTATAGCTACATGCAAGGGATGATGGAACAATGGTTTGTGAATTGAATCAAGGAACATTAAGTCTAATTTAAGGAAGTGGCAAAACTGGTGTTATGATGGGGAGAAAAAGAAACTTACTTAATAAGCACACGCAAAGTACTCTATGACAGTCACCACTCCATACAACACAAATTCATGCATTCCTCCCAACAACTCTGCAAGTGATATACTACCACTATCCTCATTTTACCAGTGAGAGAATGAGACACAGAGAGGTTAAATAACTAATAATCACACAAGTCATGTGTAGACCAGAGTTCAAACCTGGAGACCATGCTCTTAATCATAGATTTGGCTTTATATGACAATCTGATGTGTTACTGGCCATTCTCAGACTAACGTTTCCCTGCCATTTAAACTACTCTGATTGTTAATATACTGAAATACTTAAACACTTGTCAAAAGGCTATTTCTCTGCCAGCCTCCAACCTACCCAAAACATCATTTTCCTGACCTTCCCTTGGAGGCTGTGGCACCAGCTTTTAGGTTGGAATTTTGAGATGGCTAAATATTTTGATTTTCATTCCTGCATATATACGCCAGTTGTGTAAATTACAGTCCTTAGATAAAACAAAGCAACTAGCTAAATTAAATACTCATAATCTGGAACCATGTTTTACCAAAATTTAACTTCCCCAATTCATCTGTAAGTGACAAAATGGGAAAATCTCTTCTTTTGCTCCATTGCTGAATCACTATCTTCTCCTTACTCTGAGGGAGAGCTTGAAAGATAGCCATGCCCAAAATATAAAAAAGGCAAGTCAGATAATAATTGTGTTTTAAGCTTTCCATGCTGTTCATGATTTAAAGATGTTCAAAGGTACCTTTAAGCAGACCTAATCAGGAATTTGCTGATTCTACTACATACATCCATTATACAGTGGTCACCCAAGTATAGTTCTTAACATAGAAATGTGTATGTAGATGTGATAATTTGAAGTTTATTTTCAGGTATTATAAATAGTTCAAATCTTTCCATTTCATCTATGATAGGAAAACATCTTTTCAAATGCACCCCCTCAAATTCCAAGCTTCTATGAAAAAATTTCATAGAAATTTTCTTAAATGAGAGCTTACTACCCTACAAAAACTTACTGACCAGAAAATACTAGGTTACGTAAAATGTCCACTGGTTTTCAACAGAAAATGATACATAAAATACAGAGAATTCAAATAAAAGACATAGAAATCTAAGACTTACAAGCTTACATTTTTAATGAATTGATATTTTAAAAATTAGCAGGGCAGGGGTGAATGGACAGAGCACAGAATATTTTTAGGGCAGTGAAAATATTCTGTGTGATACTATCATGATGAACACATGTTACTATTTATTTGCCCAAATCCACAGAATATACAACACCAAGAGTGAACACTAATGCACACTATGGACTTTGGGATATTATGATGTGTCAACATGTGTTCATTATCAGTAACAAATATATCACTGCTGAGTAATGATGATAATACCAGGGAAGGCTAGGTGTTTGTGAGGGCAAGAAAAATACAGGAAATCGGGCCTCCCCGGTGGCACAGAGGTTGAGCACTGGGTTGCGAAGCTGCCCACGGCCTATGCGGCACCGGATCGATCCCCAGCAGCTCCCCGGCCACCAGAGGAGGGTCCCACATGGTGCGCAGACCTCTCCTGCCGCCCACTGCTCCCCTCAGCAGTGTACTTCGGTCCTTCTGCCTGCTCTGCTCCCCGCTCTGGCTCTGGTGAATTCTCTCACCCTGCCGCACTTCTGACTGTACCCAGTGCATGTATAAACAAAACAAACAAACAAATAATAAATAAATAAAACATGCCTCTATAAAAAATAAAAAAAAAGAAAAACACAGGAAATCGCCGTACTTTTCAGTGTTGCTGTGAACTTAAAACAGTTATCTAAAAAAGTCTCTTTTTTAAAAAGAACTTAAAACTTTAAAAAAGGCAAAACTAAAGGCAGTACTATCTGATGAGAAGAAAATGGAACAGCTCAAAAGAACTAAATTCTCAAAATAAACTCCAGATATAAAAAGAAACCATTTGTCAAAATGTTGATAACTCTTGAATCTAGCTAACAGGGTATATATAGAGATTGCTCATTCCAGTTTTGCTCCAGATAGATTTTTAACTTTTCATAACAAAAAAAAAAAAAAAATGTTTTAAAAAGAAAGGAATCACAGAAATATTTTCAAGCTGTATGTGAATGTTCTTGAATCAAAGTCACAACCAACACACAAGGGCGCTCTTTCATGAGAAAAGTGAAATGAAAAACGCACAAAGTAGGAAAGATTGTCAGGAGAAACTTTAAAAACTGAACACTGCGTCTCTCTGGTAGCACAAGGGGTTAAGTCACAGCACTATGAAGCTATCCTCAGCCACTGCAGCACTCAAGAGATCCATCCCTGGTTGGCCAGGGAGCAAACCAACATGGTGCAGCAGATCTCTCCTGTCTCGCCTGCTGCTCCCCTCAGCAGTGTATTTCAGTCAATCTGCCTGTTCTGCTTCCTGCTGTCTCTAGTGAATCCTCTCACCCACCCCCTCAACACCTCTGGCCTATACCCCAGCTCTTATATGCATAAATAAATAAATCTTTAAAAAAATTAAAAAATAAAAATAAAGATAAGGACACAGAAGCACAGAAAGGTTAAGTAACCTGCCCAAGTTCACACAGTTGACAAGCAGTAAACATAGGCTTTAAACCAGACAGTACATTTCTTGACTATTTGCTGTATTTCCTAATTTAACCAGTTATTATTGAAGAAAACAGTTGGTCCAAAACCTTGCTGTTATAAATAATAAACATTCTTGGTCCTCCCTGGTGGCACAAGGGGTTAAGATGCAGCCTATGAAGCTGTCTGCAGCCACTGCAATACGAGTTCAGTCCCTGGCCAGGGAGCTACCCACATGGTTCAGCAGACCTCTCCTGACTTGCCCACTGCTCCCCTCAGCAGTGTATTTCAGTCAGTCTGCCTGTTCTGCTCCCTGCTTTGTCTCTGGTGAATCCTCTCACCCCCCAGAACTCTGGCCTATACCCCAGGTCTTGCATGGATAAATAAATAAATCTAAAAATAAATAAATAAATAAATAAATAAATAAAAATAACATTCTTGTGTGTCCATTTTACATAGTTATATTACCTACAAAAAAATAAAGTACTGTAGTGGAACTTATGAGTTAGAGAAAAAAAAAATTTTGATACATACTGCCAACTTAGATGCATCAAAAAAAGTCCACAATTATTGAGAATTTTAATAGACAATGAGGAAGGGCTCAGCATCCCTCAAAAATTATCAGATATGTACATGGTTTTGCTTATAGATACATGCATTATAAGCAAATGCTTTAATTAATAATAAATATACTAATATAGTATAAAATATATAGATAATAAATTAAAAATTATAGTTCCTCATATATGTGAGGCCAGGAACAAAGGGGCTTAGGTGATAGTATTACAAGGCAATTTTTCAAAGTATACCTTTATATATATGCATGAGTGTGAATTAGACATTAACATATAAAGCCATGTATATATCCTATCTATTCCAAATTTAACTTTAAAGTTATGATTTATCATACAACTCTAGAAATACTAGAGACCCAAGAATAACCCAGTAAACTCTCTTCTTTTTATTTGTTCACTGAACTCTGCATAATAGATTAGCAAGCATCTCACCCTCTATATAGTTAATGCTAAATCTATTAGGTTTTCTGTTTCCAAACCAGGGCTTCTCCTATAGGAATACCAGATCCCAATGAAAATAGCCAGCAATATATTCCAAAAGTTAAATGTTATACTATGATAAAATGCCTTACCCTCTTGGCACATACAACAAGAATCCCAGGCTTCCTTGGTGGAAGAGGGGTTAAGTCTCAGCATTATCAAGCTACTAATGAGGCATGAGTTCGACTCCCAACCAGGGAGCTAACCCACATGGTGCCCACTGCTCCCCTCAGCAGTATACATCAGTAGATCTGCCTGTCGTGCTCCCTACTCTGTCTCGGGAATATTCTCCCCATGCCCCGCACCTCTGACCTGCACCGCAGTTCTTTAAAAAAAAAAGAATCCCTATGACAAAGGAGAAAATGCATTGATTGAGCTTTGTGCACATACCTCTGTAAAACTGAAGAAGAGGCCAATGCCACCAACAAATCTCAAAACCTCTCCAGCATATCTTCCTATTATTGGAGCACATGGTGAGCACGGGTGGCTGCTTTTAACACAACTCTGCATCAATTGAAAAAAAAGAACTTTAATTTCAAAATACATTTATAAAGAACAGATAAAAACCAGGTTCACATAAAAATGACTGTCTGGGAGTTTTATATATAACTGCAGGGCATTGGTCATTTATCAGTGTCCAAAATTCTAAGATGGTTCCCAACATTCCTATCCCCAGGGCATAGTTAGGAAACAAAGTAGCCTCAAGAAGCTGAGAGTCAACCAGCAAAAAACAGTTCTTTAGGAGTCAAATTCTGCCAACAACCATTGTTGTTAGTAGAGGTTTCCAAGACTCAAATGAGACTGCAGTCCCAGCCAACAAACTTATATCATCCCATGGGATTTGAGCAGAGGGCCCAGCTAAGCCATAACAAGACTCCCGACTTACAGAAACTGAGATAATAAATGCGTGTTGTTTTAAATCATTGAATTTATGACAATGTTACATAGTAATGGAAAATTAACACAGACCCTTATGAAGAAATCACCTCACAATAAACCTCATGGAGGGGCCTCCCTGGTGGCGCAGGAGGTTGAGCGCTGCGCTGTGAGGCTGTCCGCAGCCTCTGCAGCGTGGGTTCGATCCCGGCTGGCCAGCGAGAATCCCACATGGCGAAGCAGACCTCTCCTGTCTCACCCGCTGCTGCCCTCAGCAGTGTATTTCATCGGTCTGCCTGTTCTGTTCCCAGCTCTGTCTCTGGTGAATCCTCTCACCCTCCCACACATCTGGCCTGTACCCTGGTTCTTATATAAAAATAAATAAATCTTTAAAAAAAAAAAAAAAAAAAACCTCATGGAGGAGACATCCAGTTTAGGGCTCAGAGAGATGGTAATAGGAGTTTCTCCAAAATATGAACATAAGTGAACCTCCTAGGACAACTTCCTGACTCCATCCTTATTTAGGGTCAAGCTGGAATGTGGAGGTCAGTGGTCTAGCCTGGACAGGAGGATGACTCCAGTCATTAGCTCGGCTCCCAAACAGAAAGGGCACCAACTTGTGGTGGGGAAGAAGGGAGAGAAAAAAGAAAAGATCTATGTCCTTCACCTTGGAAATGGTTTAGAGGTTAAGAAGCCAAATTTAGTAGAGACACTTCTCCTACTGCCCTGATACATTTCAAAGCCAAGATATTTACATTCTCTGAATCTCTAAGACTGATCTACTACTATTTTTCTTTCACAACTTGTATTAGAAGGAACTGAATGGAAAGAACTAAGGGCAAAAAAACAACAGCATCTGTGTATCAGTGTCCAGAAATATCAGTACTATCAGGTATAAATATTTGAGATCAGGCAGATGATATAATAATGTACATAAAATATGTGTTATATGTAAAACACTTAAAAATACAGTTCAGTATGAGAACGTTGCTATCTTCCATGTCATCCATTATTCATCTATATGCCATACATCTTCAAAAAAAAATTTATACTTTGTACTTACAGCTGGACAGGTGTCATTTGTGTTAACACTTCGAAACCCGCAGCAATTTAAGTTTCTCTGAATGTCATCTCGAGCACTTGCTGTATTGTTCCAACCAACTTCCAGAAGCTGACCCTAGAAAATGCATTTAATGTATACATTAAAATGTGTTATAACTGCGTAAAATATATAAAGAGCCTACAACTTTTAGTATTGGTGTATTCCATAACTCCATTTAAACTTTTCAATGGCTTATACCTTAATCTGCAGCAAAATTTGAGGCACTATTTCTATCCTAAAAATGAAAAGTCTTAATTTTACATGCAATTTAAAAGAATCACTTGGTTCAAAGGCATATTTCTCACAATGTAATAAGACAAATGTTCCACTGTCCCAAAACAGAGACCCATATTCCTCTACAAACCAGAACCTGAAAACAATAATTGCTAGACTGGGACTACAAGTAATATGAAGCAAATGTTTCATTGCATGATGGTGGGGAAAGACTGGGTAGTCATCCTTTACTGGCAGTGCATTTTTACCCAATGAGGGCAAAATCCTATATAAAGGATATAAAAAAGGGCAACAACCGATGGTCTTTTAAGGTTCCAATAGGCAACATAATGCAGTCAGGAGCAAAAGATTTTAGCTATATAGAATGAAATGGCATTCTGAGCAAGAAGAAATTATTTCATATTGCAATGATTTGTTCCCCTTTACTCCCACACATACTTTGAGTATTATAAAATAGAAAAAAATTCTCTGCTTACCTGTTGCTCCTCGTTCAGGGCTAAACAAGCACAAGATACAGAAAATTGAACAAGAAACACAAGTAGGAGAATGATCATGTACTGAGAATTAAAGTTAAGGATATATCTAAATGCTCTTAAAATAACATGAAACTGAGATACTGACAACTTTAGAATATACTAGAAGAAATTCATCCAGCATATAGAACAAATAATACTTAAAGAAAATCTCAAAAGTATACACACAATTATTTCAATAATACACTGCAATTATAAGTTCATATGAAAAAATACGAGAATGACAATTATTTAACTATTTTGTGAAATTTAGAATAAAATACACACACACACACACACACAACAAGGAACTAGTAAAAACAAACCTGCAATAAGCTTTCTTTATATAAGTCAAAAGTGGCCAAGTGATAAGGCATCAGTCTCATATATTGCCTAAAACATATCACTAAAACGCTCAAACAAATATTCTTATGCTGGAAAGAACCTGGAGGTCACTAAATCAGTTCAGTATAATTCCAAATTGATAACTACATCAACAGGACACTTGTAAACTTGCAAATTACATTCATGATGTAGACCAGGAGAAAGTAGGAATACATAGACACACAATAACTTCATCCTAAGAAATGTTCTTAGGGTTAGCTGAATAACAGGACTTGCTAGAAGTTGCTGCTTGCCAATTCATTTCCTAAGAATAATTTTAATTGTCATTATCAAAACAGTTATCAATAACTGGTAAGAACAAATGCAGTTGGAGTAAAACTCCTGCTTTTTAAAAAGGATACAAAAAATAACAACACCTGATGGTGTTTTACGGCTCCGATCAGTCCCACTAAGGCGATCAGGAACAAGAAGATGCCCACTGCGATGACCACACCCACCACACGGAGACTGGAAATCAGCCCGAAGCCAATGCCCCAGGCAGCAATGCCAATCAACAGCAGACTAACCAACTGCAAAACAACCAGAAAGGGCAGAGATGGGCAGGGGAGGAGGGAGGCAGGGAGAAAAGGAGAGGAAAACATCAGTTTATATATTGTCAAAACAATTGTCAGGCATTGATAACTCTCTTACAAATTATTCTGATACTACTATTGATAGAATGCACACAAGATCTCAACAGTAGCACCAATTTAACAAATTACATTAATCCTCAATCATGTTTTAAAAAAGCTATTATAGTATATACACATGTTTATTTTTAATAATGTACACCTGAAATATATAAAACAGTGTTATGCCAATTAAAAAATTGTAAATAAAAATATACAATAATCTATAAAATTATGACACCTCAGAGGTCATCTAGTTTATTAAGCCAGAATGATTGTTAATTAAGCTTTGGAAATAATAACATCATGTAGATCTGCTAGACTCAATATATGCTGACTTCTCACATGGAAATCATTTATATTTCCTTCAAAGTTCAGTTGGGCTCTAAACTCTTCCTCGTTCTCCACCTAAATTAAATTAACCTCTCCCATCTCTGGACAACTCTGTTCGAGGAGGAACACTCACTTTCTGTTTCCAAGCCTGTCTCTCTTAGGAGACTAAGAGCAACTGGAGAAATTAAGACCCCCATCTTTTTATCTGCCTGCATCCTAGAACCTATCACAGAACTTGCCCATGGGAACACCGAAATTTCTCACGGAATTGCTGCCCAAAGAACTGCATGAGATGCCATTTTCTATTCTATTTATTTATTTATATATATATAAATTCTACTTTCTAATATATGAATCTAAATAGTATATATTAGACATCTGGTATATTTTTTATAATATATATTTAACATACTTTAAGTGTTATGTTATAATCCATACATATGACTCTGTGTGCATGTACAAACATGAACTTATACAGAGAGAGAAACACTATTGAAACTTTAAAGATGAAAAGAGTCTAAGAGATTTTAGCTATTTACAGAAAATGGTATTCTGAGCAAGAAGAAATTCTTTCCTATTCTTTCATTTTATTTAGTACTTACAAAACAAAACCAAGTGCAGTCACATGCCTCAAAATTGACCATCACCTATTAAACCCAAAATTACAACAATTTCTTTAAAATAACAAATATGCATCATGAGATATACAGTATAATTAACAGACAGATGCTACAGCTTACACATATATGAGGGAGGAGTGGGGTCTTAGAGCAAAAAGGAAATAGTATTTTCAATTCAATCCAGAATCACTCCTGATGCAAGCTGACAGTGTAACACCCAGTTGGGGGGATTCAAAATATATAAAATATACTTTCCAGCATCATTTTAAAGTCTAATAAACATTGTTCAGAAATATACATAAACCACCACTATGCAATTTTTTTTTACTCACATGTGTAATATTTCATGTATGTAATCATGAAAGTTTATTAGACACAAATTATAAATGCGTTGGTATATAAAATTTTTGCACATGTAGAAATACAAGTAAAACTGCTGAATCTGCCAAATACAACATCTATTTGTATTTTTACAAACTTATTATAAAGAAGCAAAACTTGAGGATGATAGAAACTATCTAGCATGATAGAACAATACGGACAGGGTGTTCTCCACTGCAGTTAGGAAATACAGAAAGCCTTTGTTTTCAGGGAAAGAAGCAGAGAGAAAAAAATTCTCACAATTTTTGCCACCCAGAAATACGCCTAGTTGTTCTGGTTTTTTCAACTGCCCCTTATCAGCAGGTTCATTTGCTTCTGTTTTATTTTTGTCATCTCACAATCTTCTCACAACTTCAATGTGGGAGTGAGAAAAAGTCCTCTGTCCCTTCACAAGTGAGCTTATTTCTGACTTGGTGGAATCCAAATATAAAACATTTCTTTTCACAAGGTATAAAAGGCAGAAGCCTGAAGGAGGTGCAAAGGAAAAAGGGCCAGTCACAGGGCCAGGCTTTGCCTGGGTGGGAGGAGAAGGCTAAGCTTTGCATTCCTACCATGCTGGGGAGTCAAATACTGAAGATGATCCACATTTACAACATTTACAGATTACAGGAACCAGTCAGCGATCTCCAGAGAAATAGAGCCAATAGGATATATATTCAGAAAGAGGCTTATTTTAAGGAATAGGTTCATAATATTGTGGGGACTAGCAAGTTCAAACTTTGCAAGGTAGATTGGAAACTCAAGCAGGATTTCCATCTTGTTTTTATTGAAGTAGCACTGCTGTATAATAGTATGTATATACTGCATTAAATTCACCACTAAAAGTTCAATTCTATCCTTTACCATACAATTGGACCCCTCTTGCCCTATAGATCTACCTCCCTCCCTCCGCTTCCCTTCTGCTAACTTCTTCTATTGGTCTTACATTCTAAAAGTTTGTTTCATTTAGTTCATTTATTTGCTTTGTGTCTTTATGTATCACATATGAGTGAAATCACACATTGTTGATCTTCCTCAGTGTGACTTATTTTACTAAGTATAATACCTTATTCATCCATGCATGTTGTAAATGGCAGGAGTTCATCTAAGAAGTATTTCACTGCATCATATATACCACATCTTTTTTCTATAATGCAGTTTTTAGGCAGGATTCCTTTTTTTCTCAGGAAACCTCATTATTGTTATAAAGGTTTTTAACTGACTGGATAACATCCACCCACACTATGAAGGGCATTCTGCTTAAATTTGCCTACTAAGTTTAAAAGTTAATGAGTTAATGACATCTACAAAATATCTTCATAACACATTTATAAAACAACCGGGTATCACTCCCCAGGCAAGGTGACACATAAAATTAACCACCACATTTGCCAACTTCAAGTACTTGGTGTCTATTTCATAATTCAATTAAATTCAGGAGCAGAATCATCACTCTATTGCATTTGTTTATTTGAGTCTTAGAACCAAGAAAATCAGAAGCATGAATAACATGATGTATAAAAGTCTTCTAACAATATAGTTTCAAAGGACCTTTTTTTTTTAAATAATAAATTTTATTTTTATATTCCCCATACAATTGCAGCCCCCCCATTCTGACCCCAATCCCTCCCCTCCCGCCCCCGCCCCCCTCAAAGGACCTTTTTTTTAATCATAGCAAATTCTTACTGTATTAATGAAATTCTTACCACAAGTGAAATATTCATCAAGAAATGGTTCACTAGACACTGAAAGCCAGAGATAGGATATCCCTACTAGAACAAAGGTGATCAAACTTTCTCTGTAAAGGCCCAGATATTTAACCATGTGGCTTTTGTGGGTCACATGGTCTGCCACAATTACCCAACACCACAGTTATATCACAAAAGCAACAAAAGAAAATACATGGGCCTCCCCTGGTGGCGCAGCGGTTGAGCATTGGGCTGCCCGCAGCCTCTGCAGCGCCAGTTCGATCCCCGGCTGCCAGCGAGGGTCCCACATGGCACGACAGACCTCTCCTGCCGCGCCCACTGCTCCCCTCAGCAGTGTACTTCGATCCTTCTGCCTGTTCTGCTCCCTGCTCTGGCTCTGGTGAATTCTCTCACCCTCCTGGGCTTCTGACTGTACCCAGTGGTTGTATAAATAAATAAATAAATCTTTAAAAAAAAAAAAAAAAAAAGACAATACATAAACAAAGGAGCACAGCTGTGTTCCAATACAGTTCCACCTACAGATTCTAAAATTTAAGTTCATATACTCTTCCTGTGTAACAAAATACTACTCTTCCTTTTTTTTTTTTTTTTGAATCCATTTAAAAACATAAAACCAGGCCCTCCCTGGTGGCGCAACAGGTTAACACACAACCTATGGAGCTGTTCGCAGCCACTGCAGCCTGAGTTCGATCCCCGGCCAGGGAACTACCCATATGGCACAACAGACATCTCCTGGCTCAGCCCGCTGCTCTCTTCAGCAGTGTATTTATTTCAGTTAGTCTGCCTGTTCTGTTCCCAACTCTGTCTCTGGTGAATCCTCTCACTCTCCACACCTCTGGCCTGTACCCCAGCTCTTGTATGCATAAATAAATAAATCTTTAAAATAAAACCATAAAACCAGTCTGAGCAAGCAGGTGATACAAAAATGGGCAGTGGAATAGCTGCAGCACATGGGCTGGGCTGTAGTTTGCTGACCTTTGCTCTAAAAGTCAGCGGAGGAGAGAATGGAAATTTTCAGAGGACAAATAATTGCTATATCAGAGATTTTTATAAGGTGTGTCAGAGAATAGTTCTATAATTTTTTTAAAAATTCAGATAAATAGACCAGGTCAACGACTGCAACGAAGGAATAAAGGAGGAGGTATACACTAAAAAAAAAAAAATGAGCAACTAGGACTATTACCTCATAGGGCAAAAGAATGAATGTATGGTAAGAGATTTAACTAAATTAAGGCTCAGAAAAGAAGTTTATCCTGGATTACTGGATGGTTCCTAAATGTAAATAAAAACATCTTATAAAACAGGGTCAGAATCAGTTGGCACTAGGAGATCATTTGCATAATCATAATGGAGCTTTTTGCTAAGCATTTTATCTTAAAATTAATCAGAAACTACTTTGCTCTGGATGACAGCATGGTACATATAACCAGAATTCTGGGGGGAAAAAATGCCAAATGGAAACCACCACAAAAAAAAACAAAAAACCACCAAAAAATAGGGTCAAAGGAAGGCTAGAGAGATACACGGAGAGGAAGAGGCAATGCACAGACAGAAACAGAGATAAAGGCCACCAAAAGCCAAGGAATGCCAAGGAATCCCAACAGCTACCAGAAAACATACAAGGAAAAGATTCTCCCCCAGGACCACCAGGGTGAATGGAACTCTATGGACACCACATTTTAAATCTTTAGGTTTCCAGAACTGTATAAATAAATTTCTCTTGCTTTTTAAGTCACCATGTTTTTGGTACTTTGTCACTGAGGCCCTAGAAAAATAAAACAGGACAATTTACACATTTGGATTTGGATAAGTCAAGTATTTGACTTTTAGAAAGCTGCTTGACATTTTACCACCAACGGAATTCCTACCTTGTACCCAG